AAATCATTTGAAATATTAGGAAAAATTGTGAGTGTGTCGCCATTTTGAGGCCTAGCATAGTGATTGATCACATGTCCTCAAGTCATGACTGGAGGCCTCTCTTCAGCCATCATTGGAGTTGGGCTTCCCAAATATTTTTTATTTTTTTTTAAACACCTTATTTGGTGTGACACTTGAATGGAGTGTACTACCCTTGGTTTTTTTTTTTTTTTTTTTTTGGGTGCGTCCGCTCCCACTCAAAGCGGGAATTATCTAACTCTTCTGAATTTGGATATGCCCGCATCCGCAAGCAAAGGCCCTAACAACTCATCAGGAGGATCCTCAAAGACTGTCGTACCATACTCAATACTGGCTAGGTTGACTAGAAAATCAACACACATATTACCTTCCCTCAAGACGTATTGAAAGACCACCTCTTCAAATCCCGAAGTAAAGAATTTGCAGTCGAAAATGTCATTACTACAATGCAAGATGTCATTTGCATCCTTTTGCATAAAGCTTACATTGTAAGTGCATCATAATAGTAAGACTTGTGTCTTATAAATTCAAGAGATAAGTGTCAGAAGATTATTTTAGATAAGTAATAAGTAATTTAAAACAACAACGTTTAAATAATATAAGTTCATTAACCTTCAAAAAAAAAGTAATATAAGTTCATTAAAGCAAAAAAATAAAAAAAAAATCATAATTTAAAGCAAGTGTTTGAGAAAATAAAAAATATAAATTCATAATAAATTTTGACTCAAGATGTATCATTAATTAACAACACCCACTAACCAACTAAATTACTAAAATCCATTAGGTTTTATTTGTCATATTCATTATTTTAAAGTCACATGTTTAGATAATTCCTACCAACTTTTGTTGATCATTTCTTCTGCAACTTTCCTTTTAGGAAAAAGAAAATGAAATACGGAGTAAAAAATAAAAAAGAGTTCTAAAATCGTAAAGGATTCTTATCCATTTCCTCTTAATAAATAAATAGTTATATTCTCCTTATAATAAATTAATTAAGAATTAAGTTAAAAATTAAAAAAAGGGAAAATGGTTATTTTTGCCCCTGAGTTATATACTTATAGCACTTTTTCCCGCTCAATTATTTAGGTAAGCACATTAGCCCCCTCAATTATTCTAAAAGTGATGCTTTTTTCCCATGATATATTAAATTGACATCTATACCCTTAAAGTAAACATTTTATTTATTTTACTACTCCAACAAATTATTGCGTATACGTAGGGATGACCACAGACCGGTTTGAATTGAACCGGATACTAAAACAATCGAATTAATAGTTTTCGGTTATAATTCAAATCTAGAACCCAATATTTAAATGTCAATTTATTAAAATTATGTATCAAAAAAATTGAATCTTGAACCGTGAACCGACGGTTCCGGATTCGATTCGCGATTTTGAACCGTCTTTATTTTAAAATTTTATTTTTTATTTTAAAATAGTCTAAATTCAACAATAAATGTATTTTATTTTTTCAGTTCGGAACATGAACCGTCCGTTCCGGTTCACGATTTTAATAAACTCTAAATATCGAATTTCGATTCTAAATTGTAATTGGAATATTTCGGTTTGGTTGCTATAGTGTTTGTTTGATTTGAACCAAATTATGGTAATAATTTGTTGGAGAAAAAAAATAAATTAAATATTAGTTTAAGGGTAAATATGTCCATTTAACATTTCAGGGGGAAAAACAGCCACTTCAATAATTTAAGGGGGAAAAATGCTATAGGTACATAACACAGGGGGAAAAAGTGTCATTTTCCCTTAAAAAAAATAGTAAAATTGAAACTTTAACTTTCTAATAAATTTTTTTTGGAGTACTACTGAGGCTATTATAATAAATTAAAAATTAAAAATATAAAATAGTGAATTTACAATATAACTTTAAAATTAACAAAGTTAACGCAATTTCAAAAAAAAAAAACAAAAAACAAAAAACAGAGTTAACGCCAAATATTTTTTAAAAAAAAAAAAAAAAAAAAACAAATCTTTTAAGTAGTCTCAACTAAAGGTGTCAATGTTGGTCGGAGCACGCGGGCAGCCCTAAATCGCCTCGCGATGGGGCGGGAGAGGACCTAGAATTTTTGGCCCGCGAAAATGTGGGTCTTTCGGGCTTGGTTACGAGCTTTATATATATATATATATATATATATATATATATATATATATATATATATATATATATATATATATATAACATTTAAATTTTTAAAATGTAAATTTTATTTATTTTTAAACACAAAAAAATATAATATTATTTAGGTTAAATTATTTGAATATAAAATAATAAATATTTTTATTTTTGAAGTTAAGCTCGCGAGCCGAGAGCCTGCATGAAGCAGGTTAAGGTTACATAATCCTAGCTCGCGGGCTGACCTGCAAAGGCCCGCGAAAAAAAGTCCGCAGGGGGCGGACCTACCCACATTGATGACAAATTATACCGTGCGCCTAAAATGACGTCGTTTTGTGCCTTTTCACGTGTGTGCTGTTAATTTCTTTAAAAAAAAAAATTCATGTTTCGAATGTACAGAATTGTATATACACAGAATTTTATACATGAAAACACAGAATTTTATACATGAAAACACGGAATTTTATAACTGAATACACATAATCGTTTTTGAAAGGATAATACACATAATCTAACATAATACATAATATACATAAACTCTTAACATAATACACATAAACTCTTAACTCTTTAAAAAAATTCATGTTTCGAATGTACAGAATTATATAATAGAATGTACAGAATTTTATACCTGAAAACAGAATTTTATACTTGAAAACACCGAATTTTATAACTGAAAATTCCCATGTTTCAAATGTACAAAATTATATAATAGAATGCACAGAATTTTATACCTGAAATTAAAAAAATGACATCGTTTTAGGCGGCGTGAGGCGCACATTGCTATGTGCGCCCTGATGCACGGTATAACGATTGCACATTGACACCCTAATCTCAACTCTAATTATTAATTATTCATACATCACATTTAAATGACTCAACATTTTTTTTCTCATGAAAGTCTTTTAAGTCCTCCAAACTCTGTACACTACCAAGAAATGTATCCTCTCTGTAGAATTGCACAACAAGAATACATTAGAAAACATAAGCCACAAAGAAAGAAGGGCGAAGCCCGGGGCAAAAAGCAAAAATCAATCACCGCGGGCATAAGGAGCCCTGATAGAATCCCTGTAAACACGCTCGTCGAAATCGGCGTTCGGGCAAAAATGAAAAAGGGTTAAAACGGGGTGAAAACGATAATTCTTCGCCAGTCAATCCTTATTCAACCAAGACTTGCACTCAAAAATGAGGTTGTTGAGACTTCCTCCACGATTGGCGTCAAAAAACGGATCATTGATCTAATTGACAACATTGGCCGAGTCACTTTGGATTGCCACCTTAGTAAAGTTCATATCCCATGCCACTTTAAGACCAGTAAGGATCGCCCAGGCCTCGGCAACATCGGCAGAGCATTTTCCGAGACTGCGTTGAAAGCCCACGATCCAATCGCTTTGTGATTAAAACTCCACCACAACCTGCTTCAAGACTCTCAGTTCTGCCGCTGCCATCGACATTCACAGCAATCGTTCCCTCGAGCATTCAAAACAGACTTTCGATTAAGGACAGCATGAATCTCCCTATTGTAATTACGAATTTTCTCGATTTTACAGTTAATGTGGATCCTTTCATTGTTGAAGACAGAGTAATTCCTCCATTTCCACAAATGCCAACACGTAACGCAAAATGCAGCACTCCAGTCCTGGAAGCCATGTTTGCCACCTTTGAAATTCAGATTATCCATTACCCATGTGGTCAGGTCAGTGAGAGAGCTTGTATCCACCATTGAGGGAGGCATGAGAGCATTCCAGACAGCTTTAGCAGCAGGGGAACTTCTCAGCACATGATCAATATCTTCGCTCATACCACTACAAATATTTGGCTCTGAGAATTTTGGTCCAGAAAGTATCATCCTCAGTCAATAATCTCCATCCAAGCTTGGAGAGGAAGGCTAAGTTCATTGATCTCATGCTCTTGATGCCTAAGCTGCCAGCGGCCTTAAAAAAAAAAAAAAAAAAAGCCACTAAAATAACTTAGGATGAAAAAAAAAATCTAAAAGAAAGAAAGAAAGAAAGAAAAGTACTAGTAAAGGGGGAATTATTCTGAATTAGCTTTTCCCTGCAAAAAGTACATCATGCATTTCACATTACCCATAGTACAAGAACCCATTTACCCAGAAACAGAAGTAGGCATCTCTTAACCATAATCTCTTGTGGCTTCACTGTGAGGATTGAGGAAGGTAAGCTCAAGAATGGAAATCTCCACATCAAATGAAGGTATGCATATTCAATCACTATCATCTTGTTGCAATCTTCTTGATTGCTCTATGATGAATGCAGTTTTCATTTTCATGAAATTCAATAAATTCCATTTTTTCTTGAACAAGTAATTTGCTAAACTGGGGCATGCATTCACAAGAGTATACTCACAAGCTCCAAGAATTTATGAACTAGTGTTGATCCTTTTTTTTTTCTTCTCAAAATTAAACAATTTTTTTTTTTCTTTTTCCAGATATTCTGATGTATAAGAATCAACTACAAGAGTATACTCAAAAGCTGGGCCTTCCACTGCCAAGCTATAAAAATGTTAATGAAGGCTTGCCACATGCCCCGAGTTTCCGATCAACAGTTTTGGTTGATGGAAGAACATATGAAGCCAAGTGTACCTTCCCCACCAGAAAACAAGCTGAACAAGAAGCTGCAAGACTTGCACTAGAAAGATTAAGCAAACAGATCAATGATACAGGCTCTCCACCCATTTACACGGTATGCATAGTATTTGGTTATAAACTGCATATCAACTGATACAAAAGTTTCTTCTGTTCTCTTTTTCCTGAAACCAAGACCCTATGTTTTGATTTGTTCTTTTTCACATTAAACTCAGGAGCCTAGGGTTTGCAAGTCCTTGTTGTATCAGTATGCTCTCAAGAACAACCTAGGGATGCCATCATTTAAGACCATCAATCCAGCAGGGCCATGCCTGGCGTACCTCTCTTACATGGTATTTGGGGGCAAAACTTACACTGGTGAGGTTGCAGGAAGCAAGAAAATGGCAGAGCAACTAGTGGCCCGTGCTGCTATTAGATCGCTTCTTGGTATATTTTCAGACTTCAAAATTACAATTTCTGTTCCTAATTTGTGTACTATTTAATCTAACCTGAGAAAATCCTTGAAGAGACGGATGCAGAAAGTATGTCACACATTATCAAGTCCAATAATAAGCATTATCTTTATTCACTAACCACAAAGGAAAAGGATCATGCTTTTTCAGATAAGTCTAAGGGTAAATCATGCTTTTTGAATTCCCAATTAATATTTAGCTAAAGCTTCTGTATACTCACCTTAAAGTCATGATTGTAGGAGTAGACAGTTTATCAAAACAACAAGAGAAGGCACCAGAAAACTCACCTCTAAATCAAGCTAGCGTTCAGGTCTCCAAGAATCTGCTTCAAGGCCAAACAAGCAGTAAGGTAAGCCGCAAGAACTTTTGTGTTATGTAAAATAGTCAAGATTGATATGCTTGTAGAGGCATGAGTTCATTTTCTCTTTATGTTGTTAATTGAAATTATTATAAAGTTTCTGGTAATCAACTATTTTGCATCAGCTTAAGCCTTGGCATATTCTTCTTTATTTGCAGACTGCAACAGTTAGCTTCAATTCTTATGGGACAGTTGGTGGACCTAGAAAGGTACTAACTTGCAAACCTGAAATCAACACCTGGGAGCAAAACAAGAAGGGTGAAACTGATTATAGAAACGTTACCGACCACAAACCTCAAATAAACAATTGGGTGCAGAATGAAATGAAAACTGCTGATCGCAGGAATGGTCAGATGCACAAACCTGGACCAGGAACCACTCGACCCAGTAATTGGGAGCAAAACAAGAAAGCTGTTGATATGACGAATGGTCCAAAGCGCAAACTAGAGAGCAACAATTGGAATCTGATGAAAAAGAAAAATCTAGGATCCTAAACTTTTAAACAGGGGTTGATTTAACAGTTTAGAAGTTAACATTTGCTGCACTATAAAACTTGGTTAAGATTGTAGTACACTGTTGCTAAGTGTATTAACTGGCTTTAAATTGCGCTGTCTGTAATGACTCTCTCATTTCCTGCACATGATTTCCTATATATCCACAAACAGTACTCTATATAGTATATATATAGAGTAGTCAGTGTTTTACCATTCTCCATTTTCTTCTGTTTTGCTTGTTTTCATTTTGGAATTTTATTTTGGCAAGCTAACAATTTTATAAAATAATAATTTTGACTTCAAATTACAAAATGTAACTGAGATCTTGTATATAATGACATGAAAGGAATTATTGTCCATTGCAAAAGTACCTTGTTTTCTAAGCCTAACTTCAAGACTTCCCCTTCATCCCCCAAAGTCATCTGATGTGGGTTCCTCATCAGATGCAAAACTTGAAAGAAACTCCCGATGAATCATCACTTCAAGCTTTTCCCTTAAAATGTACCATTTGATATCACTTTGACCTCTGCTGCTTCACTCCATCATAGGTTCCATGTATTCACAGAGGCTGCTGTCAGATCTTTAGAGGGCACTTAAGTCATTAAGCCCCGCAGTTTGAACTGCAATACATAACTGCCAATCCTTTTTCCTTTGCACTGGCAACAGATCATTTACATCCTTGACAGAAACTCTCATTGACCAACTTGTAATGCTCACCTAAGCGCTCAAACTTCAAAAGAAGTTTGTATGTTTTCCTATGAAAGATGTCCTCTGTTTTCTGGATTAGGAAAGGATTAGAGTGGAGCTTTCCCTTCCTATCCTTTCAAGAGGCATTGAGAATGACCACTGAGCAAACTATTGTGACTGGTAGCACAATATATTCAGAAAATCATGAGGACTAAATTTGAAAGCAATGGTATCTTCATGGCTTTACCCATATATGTTAAACCAGCAACACTTTGCTCTTACCAATAATCCCCACAGGTGCATATACCATCATTGAAATGGTGAAAACGGTTATTATCCCGTAGAATTATTGATCTCCCAACAATCTTTGATATGAGTTTGATTGCAGTGTGACAGTCCCCACAAACCCTTAAATTCTTTATCACACGAATTGGTCTCCCAGTGGGTACATTCAGAATTGCAAATGCAACGGCTAATTTTTCACTATGATACTTCAGCATATGTGCCTTTTCCTCCTCGTCCACATCATGCAAGACTAATTTTGTAGCAACCACATAGCCTTCGTGCTTCATTCGTAGTTCTAAGTCTTCCAAGAAAGCATATATTCTAGCACTGTCAGGATGTGTGGAGTCCCCAACTGAAAATATATGAATCTTGTTTTGTACCTCAACCCAGCTGTACCCAGGAACTTTCCTTGTACCAGTATCTCTCAGTTTTAATCTCATCTCACTAACATCACGCCATCTACCAGAAGCTGCATACAAGTTAGACAGAAGAACATACATCCCTGCATTCCAAGGCTCCAATACAAAAATCTTTTCAGCAGCTTTTTCTCCTAATTCTGTATTTCCATGCATCCTGCTTGCCCCAAGGACAGCACCCCAAGTGGCAGCATCTGGTTCAAAGGGCATGCTCTTGATTAAGTCTTGAGCATCATCTAGGCGTCCAGCTCGACCCAAGAGATCAATCATGCAAGTATAGTGCTTTGAATTTGCAACTATCCCATAGTCTACCTTCATAGAATAAAAATATTCCATTCCCCTGTCAACCAAGCCAGTATGACTGCATGCAGACAGTACTCCAACCTAAATAATATAAGACGATGAGTCAAATCTAATCATCATTATATCAAGAAAAAAAATGCATGCATACTGAAGAAAAGCTTACATCAGAAAGAGTAGCTAATTACTAGAAAACAAAAATGTCTCTCCTAATTATGGTTTGCAAAATAAACATTGATGTAAAATGACTTAGGTCTAAGGATCACAATTAAAATAAAGCAGAATCTTTGAGTAAGTACCTGTTTTAGTGTTTAACTAAAAGACTTGACAAGTGTGTGTATGTCTGTGGCTAGTAAGATCAAGTCTGCTAGACGGTTATAGAATAACGGTTGCCAAGTAACAGCCATTTAAGGTTAGCTCCATCTCATTTCAAGCATAGGATCTAGAAGTGATGCAAGAGATGAAAAAACCTCCAGCAATAATGAACCTTTGGGACCAATTCAAGGTCCAATTTACTCAAACCCCATTTAACATATGACATATGTCCTAGCCATGACTAGTATGACTCTATACTACTATCAGCTACATGCAACTTATACCAATTTTGGGGGTTTAGTTCATTTGAACAGTTTTTTGTAATTTTGATATCCCTTCATATTTTAATTGGCTGTCTGGATATATGTAGTGATGCTTTTGACAGCCTTGTAATTATTTATGCACATTTTTTTCGTATTAATATATCTACTGTTTAGTTGTTTTTTTTTTTTTTTTTTTGTTTTTTTTTTTGAAATGCAACTTACAGAAAGCTGAACATATAAATTTACCATAGTAACATCATCAGGTTTGATACCAAAGTCCTTCATCATTTTAAAAAATTCAAGAGCTTCTTTGCCAAATCCATGCCTTGCATAACCAATAATCATTGTGTTCCAAGAGACCACATCCTTCTCTGCTATTCCCTCGAATACATCAAGTGCCTCTCCAATGCTTCCACACTTGCAATACATTGCTAGGAGTGCATTCCCCACATAACAACCTGATTCATATCCTGCCTTTACAAGTCTGCCGTGTATCTGCTTTCCCAACTCAAAAACTGCAATATCAGCGCATGTACTTATGACACATGTAAATGATGACCTGTTAAGCCTCTCTCCATCTCTTGTCATTTCCACAAACATGTGCAATGCCTCCTCACTATTACCACATTGAGCATACCCTGCAATAATTGCAGCCCAAGAAATGCAATCGCGCATAGGCATACAATCAAACAAACTCCTTGCACTAACGATATCGCTATTTTGAGCATAACCAGTTATCATTGTGTTCCATGAACTAATATTTTTACAGGGCATTGCATCAAACAATTCCCTTGCCAAGTCTATCCTTTGGCACTGAACATAACCAGCAATCATTGCATTCCATGAAACCTCATTCTTCACTAGCATCTCATCAAAAATCCCCCTAGCTTCCTCCACTCTACCATTTTGCACATACCCTGAAACCATTGAAGTCCAAGTAAATACATCTCTATCAGGAGACTCATCAAACAACCTCCTTGCTTCCTCCAATTCACCATTCTGAGCATAACAGGAAATCATAGTATTCCACGAAACCTTGTCCCTCATAGGCATTCTATCAAAAACCGATCTGGCCTCAGCCAACATCCTCTTCTTCAAATACCCACCCATCAAGCAATTCCAAGAAACCACCGCCCAACTTTCCTTCAACTCAAACAATCTCCTAGCAGCTTCAATCCTCCCATTCTGCACATATGTTGCAAGCAGCGCATTCCATGAGATCTCATTCTTCACAGGCATGATATCAAATATCCTCCTCGCTTCATCAATATGCCCATTTTGGGCATACCCAGATAGCATAGTGTTCCACGACACAACGTCTCTCTTAGGCATTTGATCAAACAACAACCTAGCTGCCCCAAGATTCTTATTCTTCACATACCCACCTAACATTACATTCCAAGAAACCAAGTCCCTTTGAGGCATTTGATTGAACAGCTGGTGTGCGAGGTCGAACTTGTTATTCGACAAGTACCCAGAGATCATGGAGTTCCAAGACACGCAGTTTTTCCTTGGCATGGACTTGAATAAGCGCAATGCAGATTCGCATTCGCCATTCCGCATGTGCTTGGTGATTAACACGTTCCATTTCACTATGTTTGAACTAGCAACAGAACTTGCCATGTGCTGTGGTTTTGCATCCTCAGATACTTTGGGGGTCAGGGAAAGAGGCTTTGCCGCTTTGAGATCGCTTATGGGATCGATATGCAGGAAGCGCGAGGAGGTGCTGTTTACTTGTCTGAAGCGCATGATTTTGCCGTTACTGTTAATACCGTTGCTCATAATTCAGATTTTCAGGTACATTTATTTTTTGAGTTAATAACATTTTCAAATTTAATTAATTAGAGATCTTCACACTTCAATTAGTCAAAATAATTTCAGTTACTCATTAATTAATCAAATCATAAGGCATGCTTAGGGCCTGACAGGGTGGGCGAGTGGTTGGAGCATGTTTTAAGCTTATAATAAAATAATCTATGTCAAACAAAACCTTAGTTAGTCAAATTATATTGATTTAATTAATGATTTTAAATTTTAAAATTTTAATTAATGATTAATTTGGTTCAAATTTCAATATTAATCGTATTAATAATAAATAATAAATAGTTTGGGAAGAATAATTCTCAGTAAATAATAAATAATAAATATATTATATAATAAAATTTCAGTTAACCAAATTAATCGAAATATAATTAGATTTAGTTAATTTAGGTTGCATTTAGAAATCTAGTGTTTGATAAAGAATAAAAAATGTGAGTCAAAAGAAAATATATTCATTTTCTTGAAAAATGACTTCTCTTTTTTTTTTTTTTTGGAAGTCATTTTCTAACTTTCACACCAACACCACCACTACTACTATTACCACCAAGTCACCAACATCACCACCATCACCACCACAATCACCACCATCGTCGTTGTTGCCACCAACACTCAACCATCACCACCACCACCATTTATATTAGAGAAAAGGGTCAAATACACCCTTAAACTTTACTCAAAAGGGCAATTAGGCTCCTAAACTTTAAAAAAGAGCAATTAAACACTTGAACTTGTCATTCTGGAGCATCTAAACCCAGTAGCCAGTTATTTACCTGAAATAATAGGTCATTTAAAATTCCGGCTATATTCCGGCGAAAAAATATAATTTCCGGCGACAATTTTTTTTTAAAGCCTTCCACCGGAGAAGACGACCGGCCGGTCGTCTTCTCCTGTGGAGAAGGTGACCAACACCTCTAGTCGTCCTCTCCAATGGAGAAGACGACCAGAGGTCGTCCTCTCCAATAGAGGGGGCGACCAGTCCGGTCGTCTTCTCCTGGAGAAGATGACCGGACAGTCTTCTCCAATGGAGAAGACGACCGGAAATTGCTCCGGCGAATGTTTTTTATTTATTTATTTTTTTATTTATTTTTTTATAGATTTTTAGCGGCGGTCAACGGTAATAATTTATCGGTAACCTGTTGGTTACTGATAAATTGGGCTTATTTGACTTAAAATGACAAGTTCGAGTGTTTAATTGCTCTTTTTTAAAGTTCAGGGGCCTAATTGCTCTTTTGAGTAAAGTTTAAGGGTCTATTTGACCCTTTTCTCTTTATATTATTATTATTATTATTATTATTATTATTATTATTATTATTATTATTATTATTATTATTATAAATGTTATATTATAAACAAAACAATTACAAATTTTAATTATACAATTCTGCTCATTTCTAAAAAATGAACCAAAATATCAAGACAGTTTTTATGAATGCAATCAAATACGGAAAATAAAAATATTTTCTGAAAAAATTACTCATTTTTCAAAAAATATTTTCCAGCAATTATTTTTCTGGTTTCCAAACACACTCTTAGTGAATTGTATTTCAGTTTGGTGAAACAAATATACTAAAATGAAAATTATGTCAATGCATAAAATATATTGGAAATTTAATTTAAACATATAGTTTTATTGGTTGTGTGATTTGTACTATAGTTTTTTTTTTTATTTTTTATTTTTTTTGGAAATATTGATTGGATATGTTTAGGTCCTTCAAGTATAATTAAAATATAATAAACGCTTAAACTAATAAAAGCTCTAATTGAACACTTTAATTCTTCATTTTAATAATGCAATTTATCCAATAACTTCTTAAACTTTTATTTTTGGCCCGGTTTGAAATCCAATTGGGCCGGCCCAAATCCGTCACTTTGACACCTCTAATAAAAATTTGATCCATCTATTTAAGTAGATCAATATTTGAGAGTTGCTGAAAAATAAGAAAAGAAAAAAAAAAGAGACAATAATGTCATTTTTATAAATATTATAAAATTGAAAGTTTACATAATATATAATTATAAAATTAACCTTAGCTTATATTATGTATTTTTACTAAAATCCTCAACCATTTATTAATGCTTATGGCGGTCAAGACCAACCCTCACTTCTTAATGGAGGAGATTTAATTAATCACACATGTTTTTTACAATATTTTTCCCATGCTTTTACTTATTTTGTGCAAAAAATGATGTACTTAATAGGGAAATTGGATTAATTAATGTGTTTTTGTGCATAATTACTCTTAAATGCTCAATAATGGGAAGAAGAAGCAGTTTGGAGCAAAAGAAATTGCATGAAAAAGGAGCATGAAGAAGGTCAATTGGAGGTCACATGCAGCAACAACAAATTAGTATGATTTTTGAAATACAATCTAAGGAATCATCGCCCAAAAAAAAAAGAAAAAAGAAAACGCATGCATATTATCATGGGGGAAAATTAAAGGCTCGTACCGCATCAATATTATCATCAAAAACATACAATAAAACTTTGTCTGTGGTGTGCATGCAATTGTGCATATATGTATGAATAATTTTCCAGTTGTCTGATTCGATCTGTTCCCATCTACAGACTACAGCTCTTCTTCTCCATCTGTAACCGGCGCCAGGTTTTCCTGCGACGCTTTCCTACGCGTGTCCCAAACTTATAAGAACCCCTCTTAGCTTCTTCTTTATTTCAAAATATAATTACATATATACATACACACACATATATACAACTACATACAATTTCTGGTGGCGCTGCACCCGCAGGGGTATATTATTCTTTACAACTACTATACGTACGACAGATCTACCCACTTATCGTATAATCCAAACTCAGTCGTTCTGAAAAGAGTCCTGAAAAAAGTTAAACACTAATTTATTTTTTGTGTGGTTGGAAGGTAATGTAGACGTTAAAAAGTCGTACATTGATTGATTGACGTAAAAGTTTCTCTAAATATAGAATTTTATTATAACTCAACTACAAATTAATTGAAAGTTTGAAAAACCTAATGGTACTAGGTTTCTAAAGCCATGATACTATTTATGTTTGTGTGTAATATATGATTAATTAATTAATTAAGCAAAATCAAATTAATATAATGTTGGGAGTTAGTTGTATAATTAATGCAATAATAAGCTAAGTGCAAGTTAAAGATCTCTCTCCCTGGTATCTAGGGTTTTTCATCTCTCTCCCTGGTATCTAGGGTTTTTTTATGTTTTTGCATGGTTCTAATCACACGCAATCGACAAATATTCTCGCCGGGAACAATCTGTTTCGCTGTCTCTTTGATACGGCTGTCGCTCAATTGGTGCAAGGGAGTCGTTTGTTGGTTCAAGGAGGGCGCTATTAGTTTTTAGCGTTACTGCTTCTTGTTTGTTCGGTAAGGGGCGCAACAAACTGTGAGTTGGGATTACTGCTACGCCGAACGCTCTTTATTCATCATCATAACAGTACTGCTTCGGCCGACAATTATGGACGTACAGGAGATAGTCCAGGGCTGTGCGGAGATCACTTTGGAGGAGGAGGAAACGGGGGTCCGATTCGGGGAGGAGGATGGATCGGAGATCGCGGAGGGATTGGCGGTACAGTACTGGCAGATGGTTGGACGATTTCTAACCGATAGAACGATTAAGTTCGATGTGATGAGGCAGGTAATGGCGTCTGTTTGGAGGCCGTTAATGGGGATACAAGTCGCTGAGATTCAACCGAATCTATTTTTATTCACGTTTTATCATGATACTGATCTTGCGTATGTGTTGGACAATGGCCCTTGGGCGTTTGAGAATGCTACTTTGATCTGTCAACCGCTTCGTTCAGGTGAATATCCTACCCAAGTGTTGCTCAATACAATTAATTTTTGGGTTCAGGTGCATGACTTGCCAGTCGGATATCGTACGGAAAAGGTTTTGGAGAAAGTCCGGGACTTTCTTGGACTGTTTGTGGAGTTGGATGAGAGGAATTTTGTTAGACCTTGGACGACATTCTATAGGGTCAAGGTTACGGTGGAGGTTACGGCTCCGCTGAAGAGACGTATGAAGATGATTTTGCGAGACAATTCTTGGACATGGGTAAATTTTCGTTATGAACGTTTACATATGTTCTGTTTCTTCTGTGGAAAGTTAGGGCATACTGATAAGTTTTGCTTAGATGCCCGTGTGTCGGGTTTGAAACCGGCTCAGTATCCGTTTGGACCAAGCTTGAAGGCTGGGGGTAATGCCCCGGGGAAAGCAGTGGGGGAGAGTTGGTTACAGAAAGGGGAGAGGATGCATCGTGGTTTGGGCTTTGGTAATACGGCGGATGCAGCAATCCGTGGGGTGGGAATGCAGCAGGGGCGGAGTGTCGGTTGTTTGCCATCCTGGGGTGGTGTGAGGCCGGGGCTGGGGAGTGTTGGGGTTGTTCGGGCAGGGGAGGATGAGGGTGTTCGGATTGATCCGAAACGGAGGAGGGGGGAGACTGGTGAGGTGGTGGGAAGTGTGGGGTCAGGTGAGGGAGTTATGGTGGTTGATTCAGCTTTTTTGGCGGGGCCTGTGGATCAGGTCCGCCCTCCTCAATGAGTATTCTAAGTTGGAACTGTCGTGGCTTGGGCAATCCACAGACAGTTCGAGAGATTATGGACCTGGTGTCCAAGAAGAAGCCTGAATTTGTGTATCTCATGGAAACGATGGTAGATAGGAGTCATGTTGAGAGGCTCCGTGTAAAACTTGGATTTGAGGGTGGTTTTGGGGTGGATAATGTGAGACGGAAGGGTGGCATGGGATTTCTCTGGGCAAAGAATAATAGTGCTCGTTTGATAAAGTATTCTCATAATCATATCGATCTGGTGGTGTCTCTTCCAAACAGGCATCATTGGCGATTGACTTGCTATTATGGTTTTGCTCAGAGTTCAAGAAGAAGGGAGGCTTGGGATTTCTTAAGGTCACTCAAGGACGATTCTGGTCTACCTTGGGTGGTTTTGGGGGATTTCAATGACTTGCTGA